AAAGATTATAATTTTTCAATTTTTTTTTTACATTATTTTACTTTTTTATATTCTTGTTTTTTTTTTTTTAACATACTGTCACCCTAGCAGTACAGCGTTACCATGGTGACACTGTACTACTTGTGGGGGGTGATGAAGATTTCCTTTTTTTTTTTTCTACACTGATTGCTTTTACACCCATAAAGGCTGTTAAAGCAATCATTTCTCCTTCTCTCCGGCTGCATTCCTGCAGCTATTGAGAAATACTGTGTGAGCTGTGATTGGTCACAGCTTGTCACATGGTATAAGGCTGTTGTGAATGGCCCTGTACCATGTGACCTCACAGTTTTCACACGTAGTAAGCAATGATGTCAGGAAGTGACATCTTGCTTACTACTGTTCATGTAATCACTGATTGGACAATCAGTGATCACATGATCAGGACCTCATACAGAGGTCCCGTACAGCGATTGGTGTCTGAAGGACACAGCGAGCACTGTATCGCGGTGCCGTACGCTCCCAGGGAGCGCACACAGGCTGTAAATGTGTGAGTGAGTTTATGAATGGCAACCTACTCCTGCACTGCTCCCGTCTGGCCGTTTATGTACATGGGCCGGATGGGAAGTGGTTCAAGGAACGATTGGACTTAAAGACAGTTCAAACTGCAAAAATATGAAAAAAAGAGATCATCTGCCACCCAATATCGTAGATTAACAGCTTAAAGCAGAACAAACCTTAGTTTAATACCTATTCATATGGAGGTATCACAAAAAATATTACTCGATGGACACTGTCAATCACCGCCATGACAGTGGCAGTACATCAAAAAAGGGCCAGAAATACCAGTCCAATTAGAACACTGAAACAAAAAATGATAATAAATTAGAAGCAGAGATCAGATGAAACCAATCAACCAGCAAATAAAGGAAACCTTTATGATGGAAATAATACTACATTTACCTCAATTGTATACAGTTGCAAGAAAAAGTATGTGAACCCCTTGGGATTACGTGGAGTTTTGCATGAATTGGGCATAAAATGTGCTCTGAACGTCATCTAAGTCACAACAATAGAAGAACACAGTCTGCTGAACATAATACTACACAAACATTAGATGTTGCCATGGTTTAATTGCACATAACATGTAAACATTCACAGTGCAGGGAGGAAAAAGTATGTGAACCTTTGGACTTAATAACTGGTTGACCCTCCTTTGGCAGCAATAACCTCAACCAAACGTTTCCTGTAGTTGCAGATCAGACCTGCACAACGATCTGGAGTCATTTTGGACCACTCCTCTTCACAAAACTGTTTCAGTGTAGCAATATTCTTGGGATGTTTGGTGTGAATTGCTCTCTTAAGGTCATGCCACAGCATTTCAGTCGGGTTGAGGTCAGGACTCTGACTGGGCCACTCCAGAAGGCGTATTCTGTGCTGTTGCAGCCATTGTTTTGTTGAATTACTTGTATGCTTTGGGTCATTGTCCTGTTGCATCACCCATCCTCTGCGGAGCTTCAGTTGGCGGACAGATGGTCGTACGTTTTCCTGCAAAATGTCTTGATAAACTCTGGAATTCATTTTCCCATCAATGACAACAATCCGTCCAGGCCCTGAGGCAGCAAAGCAGCCCCAAACCATGATGCTCCCTCCGCCATGTTTCACAGTGGGGATGAGGTTTTGATGTTGGTGTGCTGTGCCTTTTTTTTCTCCACACATAGTGTTGTGTGTTCTTCCCAAACAACTCAATCTCGGTTTCATCTGTCCACAGTATATTCTGCCAGTAGTGCTGTGGAACATCCAGGTGCTCTTTTGCAAACTTCAAACGTGCTGCAATCTTCTTTTTGGACAGCAATGGCTTCCTCCGTGGTGTCCTCCCATGTACTCCATTCTTGTTTAATGTTTTCCTTATTGTAGATGTGTCAACAAAAATGTTAGCATGTGCCAGAGATTTCTGTAGGTCTTTAGCTGACACTCTGGGATTCTTCTTTACCTCATGCAGCATTCTGCGCTGTGCTCTTGCAGTCATTTTTACAGGACGACCACGCCTAGGGAGAGTAGCAACAGTGCTAAACTTTCTCCATTTGTAGACAGTCTGTCTTACCGTGGACACATGAACATCAAGGCTTTTGGAGATACTTTTGTAACCCTTTCCAGGTTCATGCAAGTCAACAATTCTTGATCGTAGGTCTTCTGAGAGCTCTTTTCTGCGAGGCATGGTTCACATCAGACAGTGCTTCTTGAAACCAGTAAACCCAAATCAGGTGTGTGTTTTTTTAAGGGCAGGACAGCTGTCAGCAACACATCCAATATCATCACACTGATTGGAGTCAAGGTTGGCTCACTCCTGGCTCCAATTATCTCTGGGAGAAGTCATTAAGCTAGGGCCTCACATACTTTTTCCTCCCTGCACTGTGAATGTTTACATGTTATGTGCAATTAAACCACGACAACATCTAATGTTTGTGTAGTATTATGTTCAGCAGACTGTGTTCTTCTATTGTTGTGACTTAGATGATGTTCAGAGCACATTTTATGCCCAATTCATGCAAAACTCCACGTAATCCCAAGGGGTTCACATACTTTTTCTTGCAACTGTAGTTCTCAAACCAAAAAGTAGAGGCGGCAGCAGTTAACCAAGGCTATAAAGAATCCCAATCTTCAAAGAGATCAAAAAACATTGATGTGAATAAAGGTGGGAAACCTATGGTAGATTGCCAGCCAATCGCCTGAACAAATGTCTGTCGGGTCTCAGCACAGCAAGCTCCAACGCCACCACCCCACCTTCCCATCACACAACAAACAAACCAAGTCAGTTCGATTAAGTAATGGGTTTTTCCCACCAAAAATGATGTCAATGACATCACAATGTCAGCAGAGTCATGATGACCTCACTACGTTGCCATTGTCCCAACACCTGCGTAGGACGACACTTCCATCAATAATTAGACCTATTAATTGGCCAATGGAGGCTCAACAGTGCACCATCTCGTGGACAGCTACCAAATTACAATGATGTCACAACGTCGCCAACATCCCGACGCCTGCGTAGGATGACACTTCCGACCTCCACTGGACAGTTGCCAACCAACGAAGGCCATAAAACTGGCCAAACACCCCAGAACCAGGGAAAAAGAGAAAAACTCAGTACAAAGAACTAATTGCCACCACTTAAAGCAGACCACAATAATTAGACCGATTAATTGGCCAATGGAGGCTTGACAGTGCACCTAGATGCCATCTGGTGGACAGCTAGCAAATTACAATGCATCAAAGGTTAATTCATCTAGTTTGTACAAGGAAGGCTCAGTGAACATCCTACTCGGAGTGAACCCACCATAAAAGCGTCACACATCCAGGTTGAAAAAAAAGTATACATCCCAAAAAAAGAGCACAAAGTACATAAACTCATTAAACCGAAGTGAAGAGTGGTCTCCAAAGTGCTACAGTGGGCAAACAAGGACCCTAAGAGCAAAGCAAATTGGCTTACTGTGGGGGGATGGGAAGGTTGTGTTAATTTTTTAAAGACCCTCCAGGTGTGAACGAAACAGTCACCTGTAAAACCCTTCCTGGAGGTCTTTGTACCTGAGGAACCTGTCCACGTCCTTCTGCAGCTCCCTTCCAGTGGTCTCCAACTATAACTTCAACACTCAGATAATAAGGATGAGGAAATTTATTACAGAGAGAACTGAGATGGATCCATGATCTCTGAGCTACCGCCCCTCCAGGTATGAATGAAATGCCTAAAAAATCGTTCCTGGAGGTCTTTGTCCCTGAGGAACCTGTCCACGTCCTTCTGCAGCTCCCTTCCAGTGGTCTCCAACTATAACTTCAACACTCAGATAATAAGGATGAGGAAATTTATTACAGAGAGAACTGAGATGGATCCATGATCTCTGAGCTTCCGCCCCTCCAGGTATGAATGAAATGCCTACAAAATCGTTCCTGGAGGTCTTTGTCCCTGAGGAACCTGTCCACGTCATTCTGCAGCTTCCTTTGAGTGATCTCCAACTAGAACTTCAACATTCTAAGAGAATTAATAAGGATGAGGAAATTTATTACAGAGAGAACCGAGATTGATCCATGATTTGTGAGCTACCGCCCCTCCAGGTGTGAATGAAACCGTCACCTACAAAACCGTTCCTGAAGGTTATTGTCCCTGAGGATCCTGTCCACATCGTTCTGCAGCTCCCTTCGCGTGGTCTCCAACTAGAACTTCAACACTCTGAGAGCGCAGTGAATTTTCTTTCTGTGGGGATAGGAAGGTTGTGTTCCCTTTTTTTTTTTTTTTTTTTTTTTTTTTTTTTTTAAACAATTTTTATTGCCATTCTTTCCTCTTTTCTAGCTTGACACACAATAACTTGCACTGTTCCTGCATTGACCTGGCATCTGGCATCAGGAATAACCAGACTCTGAAGAAACTTGACCTGTCTCATAACAAACTGGAGGGTCCTGACTTCAGTGAGTTGATGGCGGCTCTGCCAACAAGCCGGATAGAGGAACTACGGTGAGTAGAACAGGAATGATAGAAACAATATTCTGAGACCTCTGTACACCCAGAACATAGAACTCCATTTAAAAAAAAAACATAATATTGCATGAAATGTTTTTTTTTCTGTAAATTCTTTATTTTCAACACCATGAGAGCAGAGCAATTGGTAACAAAATAGGTGTCATGATCAGGGGTCAGGCTGGCAAAGACCAGTTGCTATAGCAGTGGAAACCACCAGGATAGGGATACAGGCAGGTCACCTTGGAGGAGGGGGATCATCAGAGGTGCAGAGTCTAAGTACCAACCGGTGTTCACCAGAGCCCCTGATGGTGGAGATGGATTTTGCTGCATGTTATCACCAGTTCGTGGTCCTCAGGATCACCCTAACAGGAGGTGAGCAAGCGGAGATCCAGTAGCGTATAAGCAGGTAATGATCAAACGGAAGCGTGGTCAGTAAACAAGCCAAGGTTGGTAATGAGCAGTCACAGGTTGGAATCAGGCAGAAGCGTGGTCAGTAAACAAGCCAAGGTCAGTAATGAGCAGTCGTAGGTTGGGATCAAGCAGAAGCGTAGTCGAGAACAAGCCAAGGTCAGTAATGAGCAATCACAGGTTGGGAACAGGCAGAAGTGTGGTCAGTAAACAAGCCAAGGTCAGTAATGAGCAATCACAGGTTGGGATCAGGCAGAAGCCTAGTCAGTAAACAAGCCAAGGTCAGTAATGAGCAATCACAGGTTGGGATCAGGCAGAAGCGTAGTCGAGAACAAGCCAAGGTCGGTAATGAGCAGTCGCAGGTTGGGATCAGGCAGAAGCGTAGTCGAGAACAAGCCAAGGTCGGTAATGAGCAGTCGCAGGTTGGGATCAGGCAGAAGCGTAGTCGAGAACAAGCCAAGGTCGGTAATGAGCAGTTGCAGGTTGGGATCTGACAGAAGCGTAGTCAGTAAACAAGCCAAGGTCAGTAATGAGCAGTCGCAGGTTGGATCAGTCAGAAGTGTAGTCGGTAATGAGCAGTCGCAGGTTGGGATCAGGCTGAAGCGTAGTCGAGAACAAGCCAAGGTCAGTAATGAGCAGTCGCAGGTTGGGATCAGGCAATTAGCGAGATACTGGCTGGAGAGCACAATAATCTGGCAAACAGGAAGTGCAGAGACATGGCTTATATCAAGAAGTTCATGGGAGCAGCAAGGGGTTCAAGGTTCATGGAAAACAAGGTAAAGGTAGGATCATCCAAATAATTGTCAAGAGAGCTGTCCAGCATTCCAGGTGGTTCAGCAAGAAGAACACTGCCAGTCACTGCAGAAGGCCCAGGTTTTGACCCAGGCTCTGAGAATAAGGCAACATGGTAGGGTACGAGTCAGAGGTCATCTAAAAAATGTCTACAGTGAATCCCAGAGACCAATAAAAATTCATGGGTGGTAACAAAAACAAACCGGATGATGCACAGGGCAACCAGCTCTCTACTTCCAGTTTTTCATTTTCCGATAGGAGGAAAGAAACATACACGAGGGACTGAGAAGAAGCATGATGAAATTGAAGTCACGTTTGAGACAAAAGGAGGGAAAAGGGGGGTGCAGCACCTCATCATCCAGAGGGGTCATTCTGTACTGTTGGCTCACGTTGCCCCGGCATCTTTATACATGAACCAAGTGGGTCCAGAAGAAATGTTTTTCCATTTGATCTCTCAGGTCAGCCGTTAACTGCTCCATCAACTGTATGTCAGATACTCGGTCTAATCAGTGCTCAATAGTAGGTGGAGAATAATTCATCCACGTGGCTGGTAGGCAGGCCTTAGGAGGTGTTTCAGAAGAGAATTTTTGTAGCACTTCCCTGACATTAGGGTAACGTGGGGTAGGCAAGAGACGCCACCATCACCCAATGAATCATGATGGTTGCTGCCGTCCAGAAATTCCGTAATGAAGGACGTTCCCAGAATATGTGGATTGAGGTGCCCTCAGCCTGGTGCCATCTGCAGTAAAGAGACGGCATACAGGGGTCAATTTTATCTAAGAGCTGTGGAGTTTTGAACCAACATGTCATCATTTTGTAACCAGCTGATCTCTGTGCTCCTTAGTTGGGATTCAGAAGTCATGAATGCATCCCCAGACAGAGAACGGCCAAAGCTCCAAGTACGTCCAGCCCCGCACAGCAGCCTCTAATACTGAACAAGGTCCGCTTGCCATACACAGTCCGGCGTCAGGCTCCCTGCACACACACACACACACACACACACAATATCATGGACACCCATGGGAACTACTGGCCATTGCATGTGTCCGTGCCGCCATATTGGATGACGTCCACGGAGTCTATGCCATCCATTCGCTTGGTAAATGCTAGCTATGGAGACTTTGTGGGCAAAAAATAAGTATTTGGTCTTTGTACGGTTGAGTAAATGTCCTCTTAAGGTCACCCACCCATTTCCGTAAGAAAGAATGGTCATGTGCTTTCATGTTTGAGGTCAGTATAGAGTAAGACGGAGGTAGGGAATGTCTCGATGGCTTTTTGTGTGAACAGAGACCTCTTAGAGGAGTGAGTGGGCATAGGGTCTGATTGACGGGTAGAATGGTTCTTAAAAAGGAAACCCAATTGCTTACAGAGCATAACAACCAATTTGGCTGCATACGCGGCTTGGGTAGTTACTTTGGTGGGAGAACTTGGGATACTGGAAGCTGCTTCTGTGTATTTAGGGCATGAAACTTGGAGTCAGCAGCACTATGGGGAAATTGAGGAATTCCCAGGTATCAAAGGGCTAGGGGGCTGGAAAATGACTTGTATTTTTGAAGAGGGACTTGATCACCGAGATGGAAGTCCCTGTGAGTGGATATTCCGTTATAGTGCTGGAATGTGAGATGGGATCTTAAAGGCGGTGGTGGCTTAACAGGTTATTTGCGAAATAACTGAACCCGGTGCCACTCAGGCTGCTGGCATCTAGACTGTGGTCCCGCAAGCTGGAAAGTCTTTGTGCAAGGTGCAGTTCAGAGTAGAATCATTATGTAAGGGACAGCGCAGTGTGAGATTGGCCAGTCCTTTGTCACAAGTTGGTGAGAAGGGCGGGGGCCGGGCACCCGCGTTCCTCACAGTCAGAGCTTCTGCACATTTACTAAGCTCAGGAGAAACTGGTTTTGCAGAGTGCACAGTCTATTTACCTTTAGTAATTCAACCCTATGGTGTCACTGCCGGCGACCCCACAAAAATGCCCAGGGGGACAGCGCACAAGCACCTTCAGGACATTCCTCAAACCAATGTGCTAGAACTGTGTTTCTCAACCTTTTTTCAGTCAAGGCACACTTTAAAATTACGAACAGTCCCAAGCCACCCTTTAAAATGATGGACAGTCCCGAGGCACCCTTTAGAATTATGAACAGTCCCAAGGCACCCTTTAACCCCCCTGGCGGTATTCCTGAGTGTAGCTCGGGGTAAAGTTTCAGTACCAAAAGTGGTAACCCCGAGCTACACTCGGACTTACCATGCAGCGTTGCTCAGGGAGTCCCTGCAGCACTTACCTTGTCCTTCGCTCCCGCGATGTGTCCCCTGCAGCGTCCCCGGCCGTCTCCTCCGGCTGATGCCGGCATCTGGCTTCCGTGTTCAGGTCCCTGTGACGTCAGGACGTACGGGCGCCGGAACCGGCGGCAAATTTGAAAATTTAAAAAAAATGACTTTTTTTTAAAACGATTATTTCATAGCAAAACATTCCTGTATCAACCCATTTCACATACATTTTGTCCCGAGTGCCTTGTCCGGCGCCCTGCCTGCATTTTGACTGTTCTTTCTGCCTGGAAACTTAGAAAAGTCTACGGCGCCCAAAAAGCGTCCCTTTACGTCAAAATCGGTTTTAGACCAGCTAGAGAACAGCGATAGTAAATCAGAACCACTTGCAGAATTGAGTGATAATGATTGGTGGGGGAAATTCCTCATCAGACACTGAAAACGATTCTGCGACTTTGCTCAGCGGTGTGCGAACTTGGCGCTCTATTTCACATTTCAGTGTTTTTGGTTTGATTATATTATTGAATTAAATTTATTATTATTATATTATTATTTTTTATGAGTATTTATTAAGTAAGTAATTACTAAGAATTGCAGACCTACAATACATAACACCAAATTTCCATGCAAAATAATGGTACCGCTTTTGGTACAAAATTCCTGACATAATCATACCGCCAGGGAGGTTAAAATTATGGACAGTCCCGAGGCGCCACATTCTAAAACGTGAAAAGCTATTCTAATAGTTTATATAACGCAGCAACATCCACACATGTAGGACCCCCAACGTTAGAGGGGATTTATTCTTCCAAAGCAAATACACTTTTGCACCCTGGTACTGACTGGTATTCCAATGTTTCTCCATCACTGAGCTAATGTGACCTCAGCATTGATGGAGAGGGGCGGGGGAGGGTCAAACTAGGATGCTGTGCTGGCAGCTGACATCCTCCTTATCAACTGATGATGTCATTGGTTGTCAGGACGATGGCGGCTAGAAGGTCGTCATGGTGCACAATTAAAACTGTGGCTTTGTGTAGCTAAAAGGCCGGCTTGTTCCACCTGCTGGCCTGTAGACAAGTTTTGGGCAATTTTTAGACTTTTTGCCAAGGCACCCCTGAAGGAACGTCAAGGCACACCTGATGGAACCTCAAGGCACCCTGGTTGACAAAGGCTGGTCTAGAGAATTAATAAGCATAATGGAATTTATTACAGAGAGAACCGAGATGGATCCATGATCTCTGAGCTACCGTCCCTCCAGGTGTGCATGAAACAGTCACCTACAAAAACGTTCCTGGAAGTCTTTGCCCCTGAGGAACCTGTCCACGTCGTTCTGCAGCTCCCTTCGAGTGGTCTCTAAACTAGAACTTCAATACTCTAAGAGAATTAATAAGGATGAGGAAATTTATTACAGCAAGAACTGAGATGGATCCATGATCTCTGAGCTACCGCCCCTCCAGGTGTGAATAAAACACCTACAAAACTGTTCCTGGAGGTTTTTGTCCCTGAGTGGTCTCCAAATAGAACTTCAACACTAAGAGAATTAATAAGGATTTTTATTATAGAGAGAACCGAGATGGATCCATGATCTCTGAGCTGCCGCCCCTCCCAGGTGTGAATGAAACCGTCACCTAAAAAAAGTTCCTGAAGGAACCTGTCCACACCGTTCTGCAGCTCCCTTTCAGTGGTCTCCAACTAGAACTTCAACACTCTAAGAGAATTAATAAGGATGAGGAAATTTATTACAGCGAGAACTGAGATGGATCCATGATCTCTGAGCTACCGCCCCTCCAGGTGTGAATAAAACACCTACAAAACTGTTCCTGGAGGTTTTTGTCCCTGAGGAACCTGTCCACGTTGTTCTGCAGCTCCCTTCGAGTGGTCTCCAAATAGAACTTCAATACTCTAAGAGAATTAATAAAAATTAAGAAATTTATTACAGAGATGGATCCATGATCTGTGAGCTACCGCCCCTCCAAGTGTGAATGAAACAGTCACCTACAAAACTGTTCCTGGAGGTCTTTGTCCCTGAGGAACCTGTCCACTTCATTCTGCAGCTCCCTTTCAGTGGTCTCCAACTAGAACTTCAACACTAAGAGAATTAATAAGGATGAGGAATCTTATTACAGAGAGAACTGAGATGGATCCATGATCTCTGAGCTACCGCCCCTCCAGGTGTGAATGAAACCGTCACCTACAAAACCGTTCCTGGAGGTCTTTTGTCCTTGAGGATCCCGTCCACATCGTTCTGCAGCTCCCTTCGAGTGGTCTTCAACTAGAAATTTAACACCCTAAGAGCGCAGTGAATTTTCTTTCTGTGGGGATGAGAAGGTTGTGTTCCCTTCTTTGAAAAAAAAAAAAAAAAAAAAAAAAACAATTTTATTGCCATTCTTCTTTTCTAGCTTGACACACAATAACTTGCACTGCTCCTGCACTGACCTGGCATCTGGAATCAGGAATAACCAGACTCTGAAGAAACTTGACCTGTCTCATAACAAATTGGAGGGTCCTGACTTCAGTGAGTTGATGGCGGCTCTGCCAACAAGCCGGATTAAGGAATTAGAGTGAGTATACAGGGAGTACTGGCCATGATCCTTTTTTTTTTTTTCTTGGTACTACCATCCAAATTTTCAGGACAAGCTTTCAGGGTGTGCCCCCTTCTTCACAAATCAATTTATTGGTGTTATGTTAACCACTTCCTGTCCAGCTGTTGTACATATACGGCCGGGCGGTGGCAGTGCAGGGTCGGGTAGCTGTTTATAGATGGCCTTCCCGCACCCTGCTTGTGCGCGCTCCCCAGGAGCGCTCAGCACCACGATCCGGTGACTGCTGTGTCCTCCGGACACAGTGGAACACCGATTGTTGGATGGGACCTCTAT